CCCGTGTATAGGACCCTCAGGCCCGCGATCTCGATCATGAACATGGCGGCCCCTAGGACGTGTCCGGCGTTATAGCACCAGAACTTGACGCCCCGATGCTCCACGCGCTGGTGGAGGGGAAAGGGGTGGGGAGGGAGGGGCAAAGGGAGGGATCAGGCCACGGGGTTGAGGGGGAGGGGGGGCGGTCGCAGCCACGGGGCAGGAACCAGCATGCGTGTGTTTGCATGGTCTAGAGACATGGGAGGGAAAGGAAGAAAAGGACATTGGACGAGGGAAGGGCGGAGGAAGCGAGGGAGGGAGGGAGGAGGGAAGCAGGAAGGTGTGCGGCCTCCGCAACCCCAGGCCCAGGAGGAGGGCTGAGGGCTTTTAAGGTGTTCCTTAACGCAGCAGACAGCCAGCTCTTTATTGTTGGAAATCCGTATCGAAGAGCACCCATGATCTTGAGGAGCCCCCCTTCGTAAAATTTCCAGGAATGCTACCCTCCCAACCTCCCACCTCCCTCTCTCCTTTCATCTCGCACCTGTTGGAAGTCGATCACCTCGATTTTATCCAAGCACGCCTGCAGCTCCTCCTCCGTGTACAAGGGCGCCTCCGCCCCCTCGTCTGCACTGGTCCCATCGGCAGCTAAACGAACCGAGTCCGTCCGGATGTGGTTCTGGAGCATCAGCCTCATAATGGCTTTAGTCGGATGCGTGGCAAAGATCCTGCCCTTAAACGCCCCACCTTGGACCTTCTCCGTGAAATATGGCAATGACGCAGCATGGTCCAAGTGAAAGTGCGAGATGAGGATGATGTCGATTTCTTCCGCGTCAGGACCGCTGTCAAAGAAAGGGAGGGCGTCGTCGCCAGTGCGGCCTGGGTGGATGCCGCAGTCCAACATGATGGTCCTCCCTTTGTAGCGGAGGATTAAACAGGAGCGACCGACTTCTTTGGCTGCGCCCAAGGGTGTAAAATACACCGTGTCTTCATCCTCCTCGTTACTGCTGAGGCGTGTGGGGTGGTAATGGCTCCTCTTGTAGGCCATCCTGGGTGCCGCAACAACAGGTCCCCGTAATCCTACATACCATGAGAAAAAAAACAAGATATACGCCAAGCTGTCAGGCTGCGAGCATGCGTTTTCAATTCACATTACATTGATAATGTTTTTACATCGAATGAAAGCATAGCAGACTTGAATTTGCATTTTTAATAAAGGCAGAGGCGACATCGACCAACACCCTTGCTCTCCTCCGTATCGCACATCTAACCTCCCCACCCCCCGCTATCATTAAAACGGACTGAAAATGGATTTAAAACGTCAAATTCAGAGTCAACATGACTATATGGCAGAAATATCATGAACATAGAGGGCTTTAATCACGTGTGTCCCTCTCGTTCAGCATCCCCTTCGAAGAGGCTATCGCACCATAACGGCCACGTGAAACCCTTTGAAACTTCAGTCGCCTCCTTTCTGGGGGATAAATTTTAAATTCGGGAACTCGATCCACATTTTCTATCTCGGAGATGACATCAAGATTTGATATTTTCTGCATCACACATTGACAATCTCAAATTGTAAAAATTAAGTCGCGACGGTGGGATGCGGGTCGATAAGAAGCTCACGTATGTGCTGTTCACCTCATCTATATTGTAAATTTTCATTAGTTCCTTTTTTGCGTGTCTTTTATATCTTCGCCTTTTCTTCTATAATGCTCATGGTCATACCTCTGTACCCATCGCCGGGACGACCGAGGGAGTTGCTGTGCTCCCTCAATAAAAGTGAGGGATTGATGATTTCTAAGCTAAAACACGCCATTTCCCCTCTTGAGAGATGAGAAGTACCAGTGAGAGGTATCATCTCGTGTTGCTCGCCATGCGTACACTTCTTGCAGAGAATGATTATACGATTCAAATATAGGGCGCCTCTATGGACGTCCCAGCCCCTTTCCTACTCTATCCTATTTCCTATCGTTCACCATCTCCTTTCCTCCTTATTCCCCCTCCCGGCGCTCTTCATCATTCCGAAAATGTGGCCTATGCAGCCGCTTTGGCGGGCATGTCGCCTTTCACTTATGCCACAGAGATCGAGTTCCACACGCGAAAATATCTGCCTCCTCCTCCTCCGACTCCACCCATTGCCCCTCCCCCCCCC